GCTAGATGTCAGGTTAGATTGAAGGCCTAAACGGGAGGGGATTCCATCCAAGGGTATGCAATGGAAGACCATAGGAAGTTGTCCCTGGAAGTTCCTTTGCTGGAAGTCCAATGACCAAAGAAGACTTTGGAAGACCAAAGAAGGACTGACACATCGTTTCGTTCGTAATGTTGAAATCTAAATGAAATCATGCACTGGTTCAATTATAATGTTACACTCTCTCTATATTGATTAAAGTTACTGGGTTGCGACATCAGATGAGAGAATAGAAGAAAAAAAAAAGACTAAATCCCAGGATCGGATGTTTGGAACGGGATTCCATTAATCCTTCATTCAATGAAATGGAAATAGAGTGGTCCGTGTAAGGAAATTCTACTCGAATAAAGCTCAGAATACATAAGAAGATATTGATCCATGGCGATGTCATCCTACGTACATCCAAAGGACTTATACCCATCTCTGGACAACTGGACTGTCCATGGATAACTTTTGAATCACCCATGGCTACTTTTGTATGCTACGTCTCTCAACAAATGAATTAATTGGAATGACTTCCATCCTTTAGCTTGTGCGTGGGAAATTATCAAGTAGAGAATGGGAGCTTCTGCAGAATAATTACTTGCCATTAAGGAAATCACCAGACATACAGTAGTGAGTTCATAGCCACCTCGCTTAAATTGGGGGAACTTCATGTTTAATAAATGAACGGCTAAATGTCAGGCCAGATAGAAAGAGGCGGGGATTCAAAGTTCCTGTGCTGAATGTCCAATGACACATTTCGTTCCTAATGTCGAACTCTATGTGAAATTATGCAGTGGTAAAAGGATGAAATCTCACTGTCCATATGATTGAAGTTACTGGATTTCGACATTAGATGAGATATTTAGGGTGGATTTTGAACAGAACTATCCGATTAGGCTGATTTCTTTCAAGGAAATATAATGTATTTTCCCAGGAGTAAATCTCCATTATCGAGCATTATCACTATTAATGCAGCTTTATTCCAGGGAAAATACATGATATTTATTGGAAATTAAACAGCATTATCGGATAGTTCTCGGTTCAAAAATCAACCATTAAAATTAAAATTTAACAATAGAAAAACCCAGGATCAGATTCAGGTAACTTCATTCTAAAAAACCATCATATGTAATGTAAGAAATTAGTGTTCAATGTAGGAAAATTTTTCACCTAGGAATTTCAAAATTCAAGATGAAAATAGAACCATGAAAATGACTTCCTATGTACATCCATAGGACGAACACGTCTAGACTTATGCCGATCTCTAGACAACTGTACTGTCCGTGGAAGGGTTTTGGATAACCCACGCCTATTTCGGGTATTTGGCAATGTCTGAATTTAGTTGCAGGGGGGAAACAATTGACTTTTCAATTGTCGAATCGACATCGCAGCTCTATGAACGCGGTTTTATCACTGGGCGATACATAGAAAAATTTGTTGCCATATCCGCCGACATAGTCGCAGGTGGCGTTTGTTGAATTGAGTAGGAGCGGTGCAACAATCGACTGTTCCGCTATCGATTCGACATCGAAGCTCTATGAACGCGGTTCTGGCACTGGGCGAAGCTTAGAAAAATATTGACCATATCCGCCGACATAGTCGCAGGTGGCGTTTGTTGAATTGAGTAGGAGCGGTGCAACAATCGACTATTCCGCTATCGATTCGACATCGCAGCTCTATGAACGCGATTTTGGCGTTTTGCAATGCCTAGAAAAATTTTCGCCTCATCTGCCGACATAGTCGCAAGTGGCGTTTGCTGAATTGAGTAGGAGCGGTGCAACAATCGATTTTTCCGCTGTCGATTCGACGTCGCAGCTCTATGAACGCTGTTTTGGTACTGGGCGAAGCTTAGAAAAATTTGTTGCTATATCTGCGGCCATCGTCGCAGGTGGCGATTTCTGACTTGAGTTGGAGAGGGGCAACAATCGACTATTCCGCTGTCGATTCGACATCCCCGCTCTATAAACGCGGTTCTGGCACTGGGCGAAGCTTAGAAAAATTTGTTGCCATATCCGCGGACATCGGCGCAGGTGGCAAATTTCTGAATTGAGTTGGAGAGGGGCAACAGTCGACTTTTCCGCTGTCGAATCGACATCGCAGCTCTATGAACGCGGTTTTGGCATTGGGCGATGCTTAGAAAATTTTGTTGCCATATCCGCCGACATAGTCGCAGGTGGCGATTCCTGTCTAGAGTAGGAGCGGCGCAACAATCGACTTTTCCGCTGTCGAATCGACATCGCAGCTCTATGAACGCGATTTTGGCGTTTTGCGATGCTTAGAAAAATTTTCGCCTTCTTTGCCGACATAGTCGCAGGTGGCGTTTGCTGAATTGAGTAGGAGCGGTGCAACAATCGAATTTTCCGCTGTCGATTCGACATCGCAGCTCTATGAACGCGGTTTTGGCACTGGGCGAGGCTTAGAAAAATTTGTTGCTATATCCGCAGACATCGTCGTAGGTGGTGATAACCGAATTGAGTTGTAGAGGGGTAACAATCGACTTTTCCGCTGTCGAATCGACATCCCCGCTCTATAAACGCGGTTTTGGCGTTTTGCGATGCTTAGAAAAATTTGTTTTCATATGCGCGGACATATTCGCGTGTCGCGATGACCGAATTGAATTGGAGTGGTGCAACAATTGACTTTTCCGCTGTCGATTCGACATCGCAGCTTTATGAACGCAGATTTTTGCATTGAGCGATGCTTAGAAAAATTTGTTACCTTATCAGCGGACATCGTCGCAGGTGGCGATTTTTGAAATGAGTTGGAGAGGTGGAACAAATAACTTTTCGGTGTTTGATTCGACATCGCAGCTCTATGAACGTGGTTTTGGTTCTAGGTGATCCACTGAAACTTTATCGTCCACATTGGCGAACGTAGTTGCAGGTGGCGATGACCGAATTGAGTTGGAGCGGTGCGACAATTGAATTTTCGGCTGTTGATTAGGTATCTTAGTTCTATGAACGCCGATTTTTCCACTTGGCGATTTTTATAAAAATGTTGGCCATATCCGCGGACATATTCGCATGTCGCGATGACAGAATTATGTTGGTGAGGTACAACAATTGACTTTTCCGCTGTTGATTCGACATCGCAGCTCCATGAATGCGGTTTTGGCACTGGGCGATGCTTAGAAAAATTTGTTGCACTTTCTGCGGACATCGTCGCAGGTGGCGATGGCTGAATTGATTTGGAGAGGTGCAACAAATAACTTTTCGGTGTTTGATTCGACATTGCATCTCTATTAACGCCGTTTTGGCGCTTTGCGATGCTTAGAAAATTTTGGCCATATCCGCGGACATTGTCGCAGGTGGCGGTTGCTGAATTGAGTTGGCGATGTGTAACAATCGACTTTTTGGTGCTTGATTCGACATCGCAGCAATATGAACGCGGTTTCGGCACTGGGCGATGCTTAGGAATTTTTTTTGCCATTTCGCCGGACATATTCGCAGGTGGTGATGACCAAATTGAGATGGAGAGGTGCAAGAATAGAATTTTCTGTCGTCAATTCGATATCGCAGCACTATGAACATGATTTTTGACAGTGGGTGATGCATAGTCAAATTTCACTTAGTCGGCGGACATAGTCTCAGTTGGCAATGTATATTTTCAGAGATGTATAAATCCTTTTTTATTCATAACTTCAATTCGACATCTCTATGTATTTGGTTTTTGCCGCTGGTGACATTATAAATTTTTTTCTTCTAATCCAGTTGTAATATTTGTAACAGAAACTGTGAAAGTAGGGGAAAAATCGCAAGGTTGGACTTTTTCCAATTCAATTTGTCGGTTTTTCAAATTGAATGGTAATTAAAAATGCACAGTTTCATTAGCTTTGCATATTCCGAAAAGGTCTTCGTGTTGTCATCGTTTCCACTTTCTGAAAGTAGCATGGAAATGTTTGCATTTTTCATGTTTTTTGGAAATTTATGTCTCGTTTTATTGCTAAGGAATTGTAAAAGACTTTTGAAAATCCTACTTTACATTACCTCAGCTTTAATTTGACTGCAAGAACGCCCGTCTCGTTACAATATAACCAAAGATAACAGTTTGATCGTAGAAATCGCTTTTTCTCTCTGGCTGGAAATTTGGAACAGCATTTCTCTAGAACAGTCATTTGGAGTCAGAGCGCCTGAATTTGGAGATTTTCTATAACTCTCAGAGGACTTCATGCATTAATTTTTTCAAGCAAATCGAAAACTGAGCGCAACGAAAGTGGCTAAAATTTGATGATTTGAGCAGGAATGACTCAGTTTTGATCTTGTCTCAACGTCCCCCTGTAAAGTTAGCCAATTGCATATTGAAAGTTTTGCGAAATTGGCTCCATTGTGGTCGGAGATAATAAGGTTAAAAGTCATTGGTCTTCTTTTTTTGCCTTACCCTGTGTACGCTCTTCGTGATTATGTCATATAGTTGACAATACCAGCGATAGAACTTTCCTTTCGATGTTCTTTTTTTTTTTTTTTTTTTGTTAACCCTTGAATCTCAGTGAAAAATTGCCCATGGGGATCATCACCTCAGCAAATGTCGCTACAAAAAGTTTTGACCTGAGTTGTTGCAGATTCAATACCACATGCTCATTACTTCAAGGCCTATTCATGCTTGGGTCATATTGACTGCACAATGAGCTATGAGGTAATCAGCCCAATGGCAATGGACAAAATGAAAGACTCTGTCCAATCTTCAATAATTGGTTCCTTTCCCAATTCTAAGTATTGTCTAGGTCCCTGGGTTCCACATTACATCTAGTTAACAACAAAGGAACATTTCAGATATCACTAGTCAGAACACCAGGAACACAGAACTGCTGGCATATCCTCAAATACATGCTTTGATATGACAATAAGCTACATTACCATGTAACAAAAAAGCTTCTGCTACCTGATCTTGGTACCCCCATATTTGGCTCCTGAAAGCATTCATGTCCCAAAGCAAAATCTGTTCCTCACATCTATACAAGGTAAGCAGCAATAAAAATCAACTTGAAAGGAACTTGTTATGCAAACAAAAAGCTCCCAGATTTATTTCAACAAGAATATAATGCACAATGATCACCTCTTTTTCCTCGCATGCATCTTCTGCCTTCTTGCCTTGCCTGGTCTTTGCTTCTGATTGCTCTTCCCTGCACCTTTACCTTTCCCTTTACTTTTTCCTTTTCCTTTTCCTTTGCCTTTGCCTTTGGTATTTGGCATAGATGGAGGAAAGGCATCCACGCTCTCCTTGCTGTTGTACTTGGATCGCTTCTTTTGGCCACCAAATCCATACTGCTTGTCCTTCATCTGGCGTCTCCAGTTCATCCTAGTATAAGGAGTGTCACAGCATCAAGAACTGTCAGCGAATTTTGAAAATGCTTGTAGACTGAGTTCTGTGCAAGATAGCTACAACATTCACCAAAAAGCAAAACCCCTTACACATAAAACAGCAAGAAACATCTATTGCTAAACATAACAACTTAAAATGTTAAAATGCAAGCAATTTTCATTTCTTCTGTATCAGTTCAATAATTAAGAGAGCACAGTTGCCCCAAAGCCAAGACTTTTCTTTTCCCTTCATCTGCATTGGGCTTGAAGGCATGTAAATGCAAGATAATACAATACTTTTAATGATGAAAAAATGGATTTTGAATGTTTGGGATGTGTACATCAGCAATCAGAAAACAAGACAGACCCAGAATATGGGAATGCAAGATCCCAAGCAGCATGTTTACGTAAAGAAGAAATAAATTTTTTGCAAACCATGTAAATTTCTTGCAATTGCCATGAGAATGACATCATGTTCACGTAAAATTTACGTTCCTATATTTATGTCACTAAAGTGTACGTGTATTTTACAAAAACTTGACGTCACTTCATCTGATGTGAAGTACATGCTATCAAGTTTATGCAAAATTAACACCACACCATCAATATGAAACTTTAGCTGACCATCCTGCAGTTGCAGTACCAAGATTCCTCACTAGATGGAACCCTTGTTTGCTGCATCCTATAAATGTATATGACTCAGGGAATCATTAAATGCTGAAGTTAAGCTTTTTATTACAGCAGTGCACAGGATTAGGGAAGAGAAGAATCCCAGCACCACAAGTACTATACCACCTCTATCCTTAATGGAAACGAGATATTCTAAAAATCTACTCCACCTCCTGAGGCTCTGGTATGGGAGGAGGAAGCAGTAGGTCATCTTGGTACTCTTGAGTGCTGGTGAGGAGGAGTATTTGTGTACTCATCCAACTACCCTAGAGTTCTTAAGTATGGAAAGGAATGGGAAAAATACAGTGTATCAATTCCCTTCAAAGGTACTGATTGGCTTGTTAAATACACATGAATGTTAGGGGAAAATTAACATAAATCCTACATAAAATGAATGTAAACATGCTGTTGGGAATGTAAACGGAATGTTAATTTTACATAAAATTTACATTAATTTTATATCACTGTTTGCATATCACAGAGGTGACATTTCTGCAAACATGTTGACATTATCTTGATGATGGTTTGCGTAAAAATGAAATAAAATGGACAAAAAATTTACATTCATTTTACGCAAAATTAACTTTAAAAAAAAAAGTCCTATTCTCTTCGCAGGTTTAAATGACACATTCCCATCCACAAGCCCACATTACTCTTACTGTGTTCTCAACCAAAGTGTTCAGACCTGGTTTTCTGTAGGTTTTATTTTTGGTTCAAGGGTTACTGTACATTAGCTTGTGCACTAGCACATTCATATTTCATGTACTGTTGACTCCCATTTTATGTGGGGGTTGCATTCCCAAACATACAAGATTTTGACCTTTCAAGATGAATTAATTCAATATTGAAAGTTCGAAATCTCGCACATTTGGGAACGCAACCACTATTATTATATGTTATAAATTTCCTGTTTTACACATATTCAATATACACTTTGATTTTCAGGAACACAATCCCCACGTATAATGAGAGTCAACTGTATTATATAGCACTGTATTTGCATAGTCATAGTCATACAAAGAAACAGTGGAAACTCATTAACTTACTATATAACTAACCATAAGGGACCAGAGAAAGTTTGAGTTATCCAAAGTTCGACTCAATATTTTTCAATTTTCCTTTACCTTTAGGAAAATTTTATCTGGCTTAACCTTAACCTGATGGTGATTTGCCTGTCCACACGAATCTGACTTCAAAAAGTCATGACCAACTTTGCGACCTTATCATTGGCTTTTTTTCATTTGTGCAGAAACTTTCATACTCAATATGTGAAATTCATTTATCACGATGCCTTTAAAATTTTTTCAGTTTTATCCTTAGCAGGCATGAAATTAGTAATTTGATTTCAAAAGGAATTAGCAATTGAGATTTTAAAATGGTTTAATTTATTAATTGCCTAGAAACAAGTCTACTGTTAGTTCTCATGTGAGAGGAGGAATTTTTTTCAAAATTGGCAGTGCTTCATTGGCATCGTTCAGAGATGGCAGTGGAGCAACGTATGTCACCTCCTGCTCTTCATCGTTCCACTCACTCATGTGAGCAACCTTTGATGTTGGCAATGATGGATGCTTCAGTGACTGGCTCAGTCACTGAGACATTCCTATCAGCCCTATTCAAAAAAGCTACAAGTCCCACAAAATGAATATTTTCTTCCCTCACAGCCCAAATTCAAGTCAACTTGAGTTAAACATGGGAATATCATAATCAGGAATGAAAACATGGTTTGAGATATCTGGAAGTTTGAGATAAGCAAATTTGAGTCAAATCAGATATTTAACATGTCCTACAGGATTCAAGTTAACGAGGTTTTCACTGTATGTATCTCACTTGTCACTTGAAGTCATATCATAACATTTTTTGATAAATGCAGGCAATGAGAGATGAATATACTTATAATTTTCAAGTCTTACAATATAATTTTGCTAATTCTGCAAGTGCACTTCTATGCTTTTAAATCATATTTTTTGGGGGAGAATGGTGCCACATATGATGTAACAATACAAGGAAGATACTAGACTTTCTATGTCATAGATGAGATTAGCTCTATAGATGGTGCATGCTCTATGAAGACCTGTGGGAGAGGGAGCATTTCACTTATGAGTAAAGATGAAATCAGAAGTTCTGCCCCAAGGTCCTATATGCAGAGTGGGACAGAACCTTTTTCTCCCCCCCCCCTTCAACCCAAAGTGCTTTAGATTCTAACTTATGTTGGGTAAGACCTGAAAGCCTGATTCATTTGGAACTGTTTCTGATCATTTTCAGATTAATATATATCAAAATGGCTGGTACTTGCAAATGCGAAGAGCAGAGAGTGATTGACAGAAAATGTATTGCATTTCACTAGGGTCAAGATGCTGGTGCTGGATTTATCACAAATGGTTGGAGTGCTGAAAAGCTTCACAGATCTAAGAGGATAAGACATCTTCACTGAAGATGTCTTATCTCATGTCTCAAGTCTCAAGAGTTGTAGAACAGTTGCCTCAGAAATCCATCTGGAACAAGGCACAAATGTTCATGGGAAAACTGTTTCCCATCATCAAAAAGCCATTCCATGTGTTTGCAAAACCACTCAAAACTGAAATCCACAGTCAAGAACAGATGTGGTTGGTGTCAATATCTCAGTGAGTAGGATGAAAAGGATTTCATTCATCTTGCATGTACAGATTAATTCTTTTTGGGGCTTCACAAAAACCAAACCCAAGGATTGACCTCAACTGGGCTTTGGCTGTTGAATAATACATTTCTGAAGATGAGAATTATCAAAATCTCCTTCAAAGGTCTCCCTGCATTGGTGTCTTTTTCATGTTCACTGCCTGAAAACCAATTGATGTGGGTCTTCAGGAAGCATGGGGAAACATGGGATGGCCAATATTTCAGGAAGACAATACTGGCTAAGCCTATCATTCCATTCTTTCAAGATGAAGGGAATGTGCCTGAAAAGGAGCTCATCACCTTTGTCCATGATAAAGCTCCTTGCATGAAAGTGAATGAAACTCTGAGGGCAAATGTGAGTCAACTTCTGGGAAATGACATTTGACCAGGAAACTCACCTGACTTGAATGCAGCAGATAACCTCAGACCTATCATGAAAACTCAAGTGGAAACCCTTATACACCAGGAGAGGCTAGAAGATTGAAATTCCCCTGAAGTCTTCCAAAGAAACCTTACCAAGTACTACAGGATATGTAAAACCGAACAGACTTATTTTGAGTTCAATTGGTTTTTTCAGTCGCTTTCATGTTGTAGTACAGGGGGGAGGGGGGGGAGAAAAAGGTTCTGTCCCATCTTGTTCATTCAACCATAAATTGCAAACCAACTAGACAAACTGGTAATATTGTGAGCCTTTATACTCACAGTTTCACCACACATCCATGAGATATCCCTCATAATGGCTTCCTATCCTATATAGGTATTGCCACTTTATTTAAAAACAATTTAGCTACTATGGCCCAAATGCTAAACCCCTTTTAATTAATGGTCTTTTAAAATCCATGGACTTCTTTAAGCTATGTAGTTTCAAGAGCCCCTGTATCTCATCTAAATTATGTCTCTGCATTCCTGCCAATATTTTTGATATATCTTTTGAGAATGAAGTAGAATCTTCTTCTGCTATGAATACACACATGTTGTAGGAATATCCAGGTAGCTTGGTACCTGCCACACGGACTTCACCCACATATTAAGAGAAATGGTTTGGTTATAACACATGAAAAGAAACAGGTTCTGTCCAATGCACTTGATCAAAACAGGCATCATTTGCTTTGTAATAAGTTTTGAGGAAATGGGCTGTACTTGATGGATTGGCAGAATGACAGTTCCTGGGACCTGTTGCACCCCTTACCGTGCAATAATTAAGTAATGGCAAAGTTGGGAATCTGTCAAAACAAAGGAATAACTGGTAAAAGTGGTGCATATACAGGTAGATGGCAGTTGCATCATCATATGCATCATCTTTACACAAATTTTTTTTAGCTCACAGCAAAAACGTTTTGCTGACCCTTGTATGGTGTGTTTCAGCAATTCTCAAACTGTGAGTAATGAGAAATGTCTCACTTGAAAAATTATGATTTAAATGTTTTCCCAGTAATTTGGTGCATGTATATCTCCAAGGGCAAGGCCAAAGGTAGAACTTCTTTTTTAAGTTCACAATTTGATACAAGATACAAATAAGTTTGGGAACTGCTGGTCCATTTGACATTAATAGGACTCACTGTCTCTTCTCAGGTGGGTGTGTCGATGAAGGTGGCCTATTTTTTGTCTTTGATGCATGATCCTTGTCTTCATCCAGAAAATCAAGTGCATCCTTCTGCCCTTTATGGAATTTCTTGACTTTCTCCATCAATTCGCGCTTTTCCTTCTGTCTCTGTTGCTGCACTGCAATCTGTGTGGCCTTCCCAAATTTCCTCAACTCACGAAGATGTTTTGCTTTTTCTGATCTCTCTGCTGCCAGCTTCTGATCAAGCAACTTGTGCCTCACCTATAGATTGCATGTGAAATATTGCATTGCAATTAGTAAAATTTAGAATGAATACACTAGGCAAGAGAAGGGTATCAGCTAACCCGCTGCATATGATTGTCTGATTTGGCCATTTCAGCAAAGTAGTCATCTGGCCGTTTAGTTTTCACTCCCATGACTTTCAGCTTTGGAATCCCTTCCAGGACAGCAGACTGTGCCAATTGGTAACTGTGACAATAAAAACACTGTTATTTCATGTTTCACAGAATTCACATGAGATTCATAATGCCTGGAATGTAAAACCCTACAAGTGAAGTTCCCTCTTGAAGTCATTATGAACAGGGTCATTACTGATGTTGAAGGATTTGCCCTTTCCACTCAACTTGATCTCCCTTTTGGCTGCATGCTTAGCTTCCTTATCCTTCATCTCTTCCCCAGCTTTTGCAGGGACTACTACCATGTCTAGCCTCTCAAGCCATGGCAATTGGTTGGAAAGTTGGCCAAGACACTTCTTCAGTCCCTCCTATAATTCAGAATATGTTCTTTCTTTGAATATAAGAAAATCAATGCTAAATCATACAACAGAAATGAAAGACTCACTGCTTCATTTCGAAAAGATCGCTTAGTTTCTCTCCCAATTATGTTCAATCCTGGCTTCAAAAGCCCCTTTTTGAATGCCTCTTGCAGCTGCAAAAAAAAAAAACATAAAGACAGAATAATATTTTCAATGTTTATGAACTCTCAAGCTGTGTGAAGCAGGATAAAAAGAAATGTGGTGAGATGAAAAGAAAAATAACTTTGAATACAAAGACATGCATTTGATATACAGTCAACACTATTTACTATACAGGGTGATCATAAAGTCCCAATCTATTTTGTTTAACTCAAAATTCTTACAAAAATGCATAATGTGCACTTGACATTGTCAATAAGGAACTAAATAAAACTGGTGATAGTAAATGAAAAATCAGTTATTAAATTTTTGTTTATTACTGAAGTTCCACATGATCACCTTTCAAATCAATGCATAACTGGAATTGATCTGTTGTTTCCCTGAACATTCAGGACGTTCCACATGTCAGGGATTATGGTGTTAACAGCAGCATAGATATGATCTCTTAAATCTTCAACATTGAGAACCTTTGTGCTGTAAACCTTTGACTTAATGTATCCCCATGCAAAAAAATCAAAGAGAGTTGTGCCTTGGTTGTGCCTCTGGCCACTGGAGGAGGTGTGCTCTAACTAAAGTATTGCATTCATCCACATGCCACAATAGGACCATACCTCATATCATACAAAAGTTCAGTGTACATATGATATACAGGGTGTCCAAAAAGTCTGGAACAATAGGCACTTCAATGAATTTATCAAAACAAGTTTGGAGATGGTATTTCCATTCTCTATGAACACAGCGAGGCATATCCATGTCATTGTCAATGGTCCAACACTCTGCAAATTCATTGTTTCAGATGTTCAATGTCCAAGATCTTCTCTTTGTACACACGTGCCTTGAGAAGTCCCAAAAATAGAAATCCATGGGGGACAAGTATGGAGATCTTGGGGACCACGTCTGCCAATCCAATGCAATGGTAGTACAGTTACAAGCATACAAGGTAGTTACAAGCAGTAAATCACCTATGGTTCCAGACTTTTTGGACCCCCTATTTATAAAATTTTTAGATGGGTCCTTCTAAAGAGCCTTTCTGCCAACAAGCAAACAAAGTCTATCTACACCTAAATGTAGAGTGTTCCAAGAAAAATCTGAGATCTAGAACTCTAAAATCTAGGAGCAATACTTAAACATGGTCCTATCATTGAAGGCAAGGAAGCATCCTCCATATTAGCATTGGCTGGTAGTCATGGCTGAAGGCATCACCAGAGTGATTACATATACCAGCAGTTCCCAACCTTGAAGCTGCAAGGATAAAAAGTGGAGTTGCAAAGCCTCCTGGCAGAATGATTTTTATTATTGTGCTATATGCAGGGTGATCTACAGTACAAATATTCACTATAACACATTTTCAACACAAATAATGGTGATCCTGTTTGTGCATGACATTGGGGCTGCAAGAATTTGCAGCTGTCAGGAAAGGGGTCACACTGAGGAAAAGGTTGGAAACCAATGATATGTACCCATTCCCACTGAAAGTGGCTGATCCCTTCCTCCCTCTTGATAAGGATGTCAGATCTAGGTCAGGCACATGCTACATCATTTCACTAGACCCCCTGAGGATGATTTGAGGGCTAAAGGTCCTTCAAAAAGTTGAATATTGAGAAAGTGCACTCATCAGCACATCCAGATGTGCTGACCATGTGCATGCATCAGCATAATATATAGTCATGGATCCACTAGCACCATCACTCTATTCAATTTTTGGATGAACTAAACCCTGCATGAGTTGGACATGAAAATGTCCACATAATTCAGCCAAGACCATCATTGTAGATCTCCTGTTCTTATCTTATGCTTCATGTGACCAAATAATTAAAAAAAAGGTAACTCACTTCAGAGTCAGAATCCAGATTCAAAGCGACTTCTTCTGACCCATCATCATCGTCAATATTGCTTTCAAGTTCTTCGTCTTGGATCAAGTTCCTCAATCCTGGAGACCATGACAATTTGGAGGCAGGCTGTAACTGATGTTTCATTGTTCCCTCCATGTGAATGAACCGTTTTCACTTTTTCAAAGCCTCTTTTGCAATCTGCTTCGCTGTTTCTTCTTAGTTTTCTTGGATCAATCTGACTACAAGAATATTGTCACTGTTGACATTGTATTCTTGTCAATATAGCATGCTGTATGTGGGGATGTGCTATGCTAAGAGTTAGACTTATTTAGGTACTATATAAGCCTAGGCCTAGCTCAGCCGTACAATGAATGTTTGCTACTAATGAAAGTTCAACACCCTGGACCATTTGGCAAACTTAGTGTACTAAATTGCAGACCTTGCTTTTCCCTGGACTGTCTCCAAAGTCTCACTGTCAGCTCCAGTGAGTGAAGACCTTAAGCCACATACAACAACAGGACTATGTTTTGTAGAATGAGATATGCATTAATTTTCCTATTCTCACTTGGGCTGCCTTTCCTGGAACTTACTTTTGACTACCTTAGTTTTTGACATATAATAGACATATTGCCTATGCCTGTGCATTCAATGACAGCCTAGAACTTTATCATGTCTCACAGTCAATTGGTTGTGATAAGAAAGAGTTGTGATGCAATTATAGAGATGAAGGCAACCAAGTGAGAGTGATACTTCTGCCACCATAATACTACAGCTTGAGGACTTCTGCTGTCAAAAGCTCTGCAAGTGTAATAAAACCGGCAAGAAAATCGTATACCATCAATAAGGGAATCTAACACTTCTTCCAAAGTAAAAAATTACACGTGTTGAGTAAAACCTGGCACATCAAAAATGATCCAGGGGGGTTTTGGTTATCTAAAACTTTCAGATAACCAAGATTTTTGCCATTTCTTCTTAATTTACTGAGTTTTGCCAGTAACTTTCATGTTGCACAAACTGCTATTGCTTTGCATCAGAAAAAGGCCCTGATGCACTCAACACTCATTTTCAGTTATATCATCATTTTTTCAATTTCAACATATCAAGAAAAACACCTTTACTGTGAAAGGTACCCTCTCATCAGTAACCTTCCCTTGCTGCAATATTGAATTCCACTATCCAAATAATTGACAGGGAAGCATCTATTACTTGCAGATGGTAGGGAAACCTCAGAGAGCAACTGCTAAACTTACTTTTATGAATAAGGCTTGTTATTTTTTTAGGCATTTAGGATGACAGTTTCAGATGTCTAAGGAGAAGTGATTTAATCCAAGTATGATAGAACACTGATTACCCCTACTAATGGAGTGGAGCTAATTGCTAGATTATCAGGTAACACAGGTAACCCTAACAAGGCTTCTTTTTGCATGAGGAGTTTTATGAACAGCTGGCACTCAGGGTGACTGAATTTCTTCTTTCTTGTGGTGGGAAAACCTACACAATTGCAGAGCATCACTGAAGTACAGCATGTATGCACTACAGGATGTCCCAGAAAGATGTATACACACCTTCATATGTTACCATTCAAAGGCACATTGTCTCCTTACATTTAGATGTGTTTCATTCAAAACACATTCAACACACCCCTGTGGAGTGTCTTGAAGGATTCAGTCTACGCTACAAAACCTGTGACCATCCAGGAACCCCCAACAGAGAATTGTTGATGCTTCCACCACAGTTTGTATGGAAACATATGTCACTATGTGTTACTCTGTTTTCAGATGCTGTCAATCCCTGCATCAATGCTGATGGTGAACATTTTGAACACCTATTGTAGTGTGTTGTTTGAAGTGTCCAATGAATCAAGAAACAATTCTATCAAGCAATATGTCTTTGTGTACAAGACCATAGAAGTGTGTATACATCTTTCTGGGACACCCTGTATACTGTACAGTTAAATTGTGAGACTGCAAGGAACACACTCTTGCACAAAAGTGAGATTTTATTGCCAGGCTAAGGTAATTTGCAAACTGATTAACACAAATCTGATAATCTGGGATACATTGTAGGTTCAAGGGCAAGAATTTCTAAGCTTCTCAAGGACTCAGGCACATATTGAAGGACTGTAATGGTCTAGAATTGTATGTCAGCATGTGGCCCTTTCTTGCAAATTGCTTCTAACTTGCAGCTTGAGAACATGTGGGAAGTTGACTTTGGTCAAATATGAGTTGATTACACAGTTAAGGTTAATGACTGGCAGATTCCAATAAGGATAGAAAAAGACAAAACACAAAAGCAGTCCTCCCATATCACATATTCACTACTACCTAAAGTCACTCAAGTCATGTACACTGTTTCAGATTGAATTGGTACCCCTCCCTATTGTGGAGAATGGAGGAAGTGCAAAATTTCAAGACAATCCATTAGGTGTCAATTGTGCTGCATTGCAGGATTGTCAGATTTTCAATGGTAATTGAGCCTTTAAGATTAACATTGAGAAGAAAGGACACCTTCACCATTTTAGAAATAAAATGAATGCAGTGAATGACTTTGGGAGGAAATTCTCCAGTTCTCAGTATGTCGTAGTTCTTTGGTAAAACGGTGTCTCATTCTTGAACATTACTCCATGGTAGCTAACATTGGCTGCGTGAAAACTATAGGATCTTGCAGATCTTTCAGGAGGAAAAGGCTTTAAAACAATGCAAACTCATGACAATTATCACAACATTTCTGATTTACAGGAATTTGTCATCCAAAAACATCAAGATGACCATATTTATTGGATGCTTATTCATGTTACTTTTTCAGCATAGGAAGACTCAACACTAATGTAGTATAACACATCCAATATTGCAGGGAATGAACAGATGCAGAAAAGATGAGGAAAAAACAGTCAATGAGGCTGGGAAACTAAGCTCCATCTCTAGTGGCTCCTGGTAGCCTCAATTATTTCCCTTTTCCCTGTCCATTTCAGAAAACCTTAATTTCTTGCTCTCGTTTCTCTGTTCCTCAATCATAATCCAATCATCATTCATGTTATTCTTTTCAATTAGTTTACTATTCTGTCTGTTGTCAGATGCCCAGGGGTTCTCAACAAAAATGACAGTTAAAAAAAGAGGTGAAGATCCAAATCGGCATTGATCATGAGTTGAGGATATTTAAACTCAAGCAATCATGCAGGGCTTCCCATATTGGGCATATCAAGAACCAAGAAGGATTCTACTAAAATTAAACCTTTAATCCACTAGGTGTCCTGCTTGCACTTGATGGAAGTGCTCCTATGGGGGAGTACTAATTCAATCTGAAAACAGTGTAAGTTCCTAAATGCCAAGAACTAATGGTCCTACAATCTCTGTTTATCTTCCTGTGCCAGTAGTAGCCATACTGATATAAGGAACCAGTAGTGATAGCAGAAGTCTCACACTACATTACCTATTTCCTGTGTTCTCAGGTGGTAAGACTCAGGTTAACATTCCCAACTGCTCCATGGTGTTTTCAAAAAACCTGAACCTCTTTTTGCCAATTTCCTATATTCTACTTACTTCCCTAAAATTGTTCTATTCTACCCCTGAAAGTGACTTCATGTCAACAACACTACCATGTCAAGATGAGTAATGTGTAACCTTTCCTTCTAGACCAAAAAGTTTTAAAACTCAAGAAAGCAATACCAGTAATCATTTTCCTAATACATCATCAACTTTGTGTGATCAAGTAATACAAGAGAAAGTTCTATAACTTGTTGGCTTGAAAGCCTGATGATCAAGAAGAAAAATTATAATGCATGCACTGGCAGTCACCATCAGACAGTAATGGTTAAGTGCATACCTTCTAATGAAATTGCACTCCCTCAGTCTCCTATGTTTTCTGATGAATTCAACAGGACACATGCTGCATCAATTGGGATTCCTTATATATATAATAAACACCAGCCCATTCTAACCTAAGCTAACCTGGCCTAACTTTAAGGAGCAACACAATATCCCTAGAGGGTATGCACATACTATAACCCCATCAGACTAAGATCCATCTAAGATGTTCCAAGGAAAAGGAATTTGCTACAAAATTTGAAGTTTGCAGTCCAGGTTTGGGCCACAGTCTCTAGGTAGAGTACCCCTGATATAAGCTAGAGAAGAAACAAAGAGCAAGGCAGCAGCCTTTATGATTGACATGGGGATGTCATCAAAACCTGCTTATTTTATTAACCCTTGGAAGTTAACGTAGGAAGTAATTTTGTTTAGTAGGCCTAATTCAGGTTTAGACAATCAAGAGCGCCATACAAGGGTTCTATGAAAGTACTAATGAGAGGGTTCAATAGATTCATTGAGAGTAGTGTAGTACTTTATGATACGTGCCATCTCAGGACTGTCAGTTTGAGCTTTTCTTGTCAAAAAGGCGTTGCTGTGGCGTACCTGTTTACGGCCACTAATATGGGTAAGTGAAACCCTATATTCTGTGCATTGAGCAGCTAGGCCTACTGGAAGGTTAAGTTTGTCTGAAGCTGCGTATAGTCTTACACTGTCGGGTCCTTGGCATACTGGACGTTCGGACCGCGACCACGATGGATGCCGCCATTCTTTCCTGGGTCGCTATTGGTACAATACGCTAAATAAGACCAATATTTAAATTTCCTTCTCCGGTAGTGCACGAAATATAATTAGGATAATTTCATTAATTTTTTTCAGGTGCCATTAATTCTACACCAAGATCAGGATCAAACTATTAGATGCAGCATCCTTTGAGAGTTGAATACAAACTTAATCTGGAGCCGTGTTCACGAAACATTCTTACGAACTTTTTCTTCGTAAGAAGAGAAAAGTTCGTAAGTGGTATTCATCAAACCTCTCCTGCCAAGAAATTCTTACGAAGTTCATAAGTGGTATTCATGAAACATTTTTTGCGTAAGATGTTCGTACGATCTTCGTACGCAGTTTGCAAGAATGCTGCTCAATTTTGGTATTCACGAAAGCGCAACAGTTCGTATCTTTCTTCGTAAGTCTACGAATGGTCCCGAGGTATCGTAAGTGGCCACAATAACGATGTCGAGGGAACCTGTGGAACTCTCTTTCATTAGGTGTCTCAATTAAGCTAAGGTTCATTCACACCGGACGGTTAACAGGATATATGCACACAGGATTCGCAAGATTTTGTCTCGGAGGTTATGAGGTTATTCACATTCATCCAGTGTCAGAAAAGTAAGACGATAATGCTCTAGCAAAACTCTTTTTCCGCCCAATTATTGAAAAATCTT